GTGTGTGTGTGTGTGTGTGTGTGTGTGTGTGTGTGTGTATTCATTTATTTATTTATATATACATACATACAAACACACTCACTATCACACTCACTATCACACACACACACACACACATATACACAGACATACACACATACACAGACATACACACACATGCACATACCCAAATATATGCATGATTTATATATATTATGAGAAAATGTAACTTGTTGGCAGAGATCTAGATTCCCTAGATTAGGCAATTACAAATACTGTTAAGTAAAGCAAAAGATTAAGTTTCCGGGCGGCTTCGGCGTCCCCAGGCTGGCGCGCGGCGACGCGGTGCTGGCGGAGAGCGGGGAGGTCGACGTGGCCTGGCCCAGAGTGGTGATGCAAGTCCCCCGGCGGCTGGAGACCTACCACAGCCCCGTCGACGTCGAGTTCGGGTGAGGAGTTCGTGGTCTTTTTGTCTAGCAGATGAGGAAATTTAGTTTTTTGGCAGACTCAATTTCACTCCTGTCAGTAACTACCATAGTGTAGATTTCCTGTTTTAGATGTGTGCTATTGTTAGCGGTCGAGTTTCCATTGCCATCGTGAAATAAAATGCTTCCCTGATCAACTCCCGCCCGATGTCCCTCACCCACAGGTTCACGCGCAACATCTGTCTGCCGCAGAGCCCCGTCCACTTCAAGGTCTGGGTGGACCTTTTATACCACGGGGTTCCTGTGGCTGGACCGGACCTTAATCCCCAGCCCACCACCGCCACGCCCCCCGGCAGCGGAAGGCGTGGCAAGCACCGCGGTGGCTGGACTCCCTTGGACGACGACCGCCTCAGGAGAGCGCTGAGGAAGGCCAGGAACAGAACGAGCGCCCACGACAGGAAGGAGGGCAAGAGCCGGAGGAAATTCACCTGGAGAATGAAGAAGCAACGAAGAAGAAAAAATCGGCTCGCGGGCGTCGCGCGACCGGACGCCCGACAGGGAGAGACGCAGGACAGGGACGGCGGGGAGGAGGGGGAGGCCGAGGAGGCGCTCGCTCGGGTCAAGAGAATGATGGGGGCGCAGCCTCCCAGGGGGACGCTGGTGAGCTCGGGCGCGCGGGCGGGGTCGTCGGCCTGGGGCGGGCGGGCCATGCGCCTCGAGAGGATCCTGCTGCCGGCGCTGTACGCGCGGGGCAGCCACAGGGTCAGCTTCCTCTGCGACAGCATCGGGCCCGCGGGACTCTACAGCGTCCGCCTCATCACGAACGTGTCCTCGAGCCCCGTCATCGCCTCCTCCGAGTGGTTCACCGTAAGAGCTCTGAGTCGGTGGGAAGGTTTCAGTTGTAGAAGAGAAAGGATAATGAGTGGCAATAAGAGCTATGATTGCAATGGTCATTATCATATCAACAATAGTAATGATCATAATATCAACTTTAGTGATAAGTGTAATGAGGATATCATAATAAAAATATTAATGATAGTAATAATCATAATAACAATAATAACAACCAATTAAACTAATAATGATAATTATGATAAAAATTATAGCTACCATGACAATAATCATAATGATGGTGATAATAATAAAGATAATATTTATAATAATAATAGTAATAAAGATGATATTAACAATAATGATAATAAATGTTGTGATGATAATAATAAGGATAGGTAATGAATGATAATAACAGTAACAGTAATCACCATCATGTCAGTCACCATCATTACAATAATAGTAATAACAACAATGATAATAATTATTGATATTGATAATAAAGATAATGATAAAATGAATATTAGTAAACATAATGATAATGACGATGATGTTGATGATAATACTAGCTATCATTATTATTGTTATTGTAACTATAATTATGATCAAATTCATTAATAACAATAAGGGAAAAATAATAAAGATAATTACAATGATAATAATTATGATGATAACAAAAATAATGATGATGATGATACCACTAACACCAATGATTATAATAATAATAATGATAATGATAATAATAATAGATGATAATGGAAATGAAAATAACCATAACGGTAATATAAAGAATATTAACAATGATAATCATGATCATGATGATAATAATGATAATGATCATAAAAATAATATGTATATATATATAGCAATTGTAATAACAACCATAATAGCAGTAATGATAATAATGATAGTGAATATAGTTTAATAATCATAATAATAAACATAATATTAATGATAACAGCAGTAAAACAAAACATTAGGTAGAACAATAACAATAATTTAAGGGAAAACAAGCGTAAGCAACCTGAGAAAAAATCCAATTAATGTCCCATATTGTAGCAGTTATTTAGCTCCACTGGCTGTTGTAATTTTTTCCCTCAATTACTATGTCCCCTCTAGATTAACGGGTTCGCAAACCTTTCCCTGCACACCTGAACGACTTCTTCCCCCTTCGAAAACTGCTTTTGAAGAGATTGTCCACTCCCGTTTGGCACCATGGCGTCGATTCGGTTCTATTCTCACCCCCACTCGGTGCTATTAAAGGGCCTTCTGATACAGTTCTAGAATCTTAACCCCTATGATTGATGTCTCAAGGAGCCATATATCCCCGAGTATATTTCAATCTCTTCAGAGGGATTATGAAATAAATAAATGAAGAGATAAGATGAATGAAGTAATGAAAATAACACAACTTGCCTTGCGTTGGTTTCTCCCTGGGTTTTACCCTAAGCCATAAGTCTTGTGACTCCCTGTATTGCATGTCGCCCGCCCTGATATTGGAGAGCTGTGCCGAAACAATAATACTCACGCGTTGTTGTTTCCTCTGACAGACAATACACATCTATTTGTTTTTATGTCTGAATATTCGTGGTTGTTGTTAGCCCTTACAGCAGTATTATTCATATCAAATTGATAGGTAAGGTCAACACTATTGCGAACCATTAAAAATACTGATACCGAAAACGAGTCCAAAGTCCGTCTCTCTCTTCTCTCTCTCTCTCTCTCTCTCTCCCTCTCCTTCTTCCTTTCCGAGTCTCAACGCAACTCCCCGTTTTCGTAGGTGGTCTGGAGTGACCTGTTCAACCTGTTCATCCGAGCCTCAAGCATCACCCCGTGCAAAGTCGCCCTCGGCGTGACTGTGTCTCACCCAGCGTGCATCGGTGAGTTCGACAAGGTGAGGGTGTTCGCGCGCGTGCGGGCCAACGTCACCTCCGCGGACCCCCCAACCGTCGACAGGTGAGTGTGTTGCTTTCGCTTACTCTCTTCCTTTTAATGCTATTACTTACGACGAAATTACATTACTTATAGTGTTATCGTCCTTTTATGTTTAAGAGAAACAGGCCACTTGCAAGTTTGAAAACGTTATGTGGTGTATTTATAATTAATTCCCCGACAGTGGAATCAAAACTGTTTACTCTTAAAGACCCACAAAACCATATGCATTAATCCCTACTCACCCGCTTCACCCTATTATTTCGGGCCCTCCTTCCACGAGCTCCTCTCCATGGCCTTCCATTCCTCCTGCAGATACCTGCTGGAGCGCCGAGTAATTCCTTTCAAGTCCTCGGTGGTGTTTCCCTGCTCCGTGTTCGAACTCGAAGCCACCGACTTCTGCTTCGTGTATGTCAACACCGCCAAAAACAAGGCCGTTTCCGAAGTCCAGAGGAAGTGCATCCCGACATACAGACCGAACGGTAGGTCGGAAATAGAAACACGCTTCCCGGCTTCCTGTTTCTTCCTTTAACTCTTGCGAAACGAAGATGCCTGTGAGTCTCGTTTTGTTGTAGTGATGCGGATGTCGCGTTGGGGCTCCTGCAGGGATCATTATTACCATATTTATTGTTGTTTATCGTCTTCGACTTGGTATTGTATTTATACTGTATTGTCGATGAAGATAATCAGTGATGAATGATAATATTACCACCGCCAAAGAAGTTATGTTTTTGGTAGCGTCGGCTAGTCTGTTTGTTCGTTGGTTAGCAGGATAACTAAAAAAGTTATGAACAGATTTTTTATGAAATTATTACCAGAGGTCTGCTTTCGTCTAACTTAAATGCCACTAAATTTTGGAGATGATCCGGATCATGATGCGGATCCAGAACTCTTTTAATTCTTTAACAATTCAAGATAGGGATAACTAATTCTTTTTGCCATTTAGTTTATTATCATTGTCATTATTATTATTATTATTGTTATTGTTATTATCATTATTATTGTTATTATCATCATATTGCTTTGGCGGTGTTATGCGCTCTCTGAATGCATCTAATTATTATTATTCATTGCTCTCACTGCCAATCTTCTTATCATTATAGTAATGAAAAATGAAATGATAGTAATGATAATGAAATGATAATAATAATAATGAAAATAATAATAATAATGAAAATGATAATAATGATAATTATCATAATAGTGATAATGATAGTAATTATGGTCTTAATAATGGTATTATTATTGTTAATAACATTTTAATATTATCATTATTATTATTATCGCCATCTTAGCATCATTGGCACCATCACGACGACCCCCATCATCACCATCGCCTTCACATCAAACCTTCACATCAAAACCACCCTCGTCACCTGGCCCAATCAGCATCGTCACCTGGCCCCAATCAGCACCCTCGTCACCTGGCCCCAATCAGCACCCTCGTCACCTGGCCCCAATCAGCACCCTGGTCACCTGGCCCCAATCAGTCACCTGGCCCCAATCAGCACCCTGGTCAGTCCACCCTGGGGGTGCAACAAAAGCCCGGTGACCGAGCGCGATTAGCCCCTCCTCCTGTGGCTCTCGGCTCCCCACGTGACCCTCGCCCCCCCCCCCTGGCTCTCGGCTCCCCCGTGGCTCACGGCTCCCCACCTGACTCGGCTCCCCCCGTGACTCTCGCCTCCCTCCGTGACTCGCCCCCCCCCCCCGTGGCTCTCGGCTTCCCCGTGGCTCACGGCTCCTCCGTGACTCGCCCCCTCGTGGCTCTCGGCTCCCTCCGTGACTCCCCCCCCCGTGGCTCTCGGCTCCCCACGTGACCCTCGCCCCCCCCCCCCGTGGCTCACGGCTCCCTCCGTGACTCCCCCCCCGTGGCTCTCGGCTCCCTCCGTGACTCGCCTTTCCCCCGTGGCTCTCGGCTCCCACCGTGACTCTCCCCCCCTGGCTCTCGGCTCCCCACGTGGCCCCCCCCCCGTGGCTCACGGCTCCCTCCGTGACTCACCCCCCCCCCATGGCTCTCGGCTCCCCCCGTGACTCTCGGCTCCCCGTTACTCTCGCCCCCTCCCCCACCGTGGCTCTCGGCTCCCTCCGTGACTCCCCCCCCCCCGTGACTCTCGGCTCCCCCGTAGCTCACGGCTCCCCCCGTGACTTTGCCCCCCCCCCGTGGCTCTCGGCTCCCCCGTGACTTTGGTCCCCCCCCCCGTGGCTCTCGGCCCTCCGTGGCTCTCGGCTCCCCCCGTGGCTCTCGGCCCCCCGTGACTCTCGCCCCCCCCGTGACTCGGCTCCCCCCGTGGCTCACGGCTCCCCACGTGGCTCTCGCCCCCCCCCCCCGTGGCTCACAGCTCCCCCCGTGACTCTCGGCTCCCCACGTGTCTCTCTGCTCCCCCCGTGACTCTCGGCTCCCCCCGTGGCTCTCGGCTCCCCCCGTGACTCTCGCCCCCCCCCTCCGTGGCTCACGGCTCCCCCCGTGGGCTCTCCCCCGTGGCTCTCGGCCCCCCGTGACTCTCGGCTCCCACCGTGGCTCACAACTCTCCCCGTGGCTCTCAGCTCCCCTCGCGGCTCACGGCTCCCCCCGTGGTTCTCGGCTCCCTCGCCCTCTCTCTCTCTCTCCCCCGTGGCTACCGGCTCAGGGCAGCGAGGCTTTCCGACGCCGTCCCAGAGCCCTAGACGTGGGTTTGTGTCCTCGGCGTCGCCCTATTATCCATTTACTGTGAAGCAGCGGCTGGGGTTGCCACCGGCTAGGAGATGCTCTGCAACTGTTCGAACTAAAGACTGAGAAATGCTTGAGTAATCCCTTCGACCTTTGTTTGGTCGGCCTGTTTTGTACAGTTTCATTTGGAATAAGCTTAGCAAGAAATAAGTGTATTAAATGCGTGGGACTGTGCTCACAGAAGGCTTTTCTATATACATAGAAGTTATATATGAAAGTCAAGAGTTAAACTTATACCATTACAGGAGAAGACAAAAATTAAGTTAGTCATAATATTATCCAACATTTTTTTTTTCACTTCGCTCTTGAGCTTCCCTCAAAAAAAGGAACTGTCACCCATATCAAAAATAGTTTTTGTTTACTTTTCCCTCGATCTGCCGACAACCACTGGGTCGGGCGGGCGCTGGAGGGCATCTTGCCGGTGAGTCAGCCAGTCCCTCCTCTCCCTGTGCTTCATTACATATGCAGAGAACAGGCCGAGTACATATTCTGCTGTTAATTGGAAAATATGGCGGCCCTCGGGGAACTCCGACGGGCGGCGCTCGTGGGATGCTCTCTCCGGCCCTTTCGCCAGCGCCGTTCTTCTGCGGCAGACCCTTTCCTCCTGTGCGAATCGCGTGTGTGTGTGGGGGGGGGGGCAAACACAGATACATGTATAGGTACTGGAAAGATATACTTAAAAAAAAAAAAAAAAAAAAAAGTTATTCACTCACTCGTGCCCGCGTCCTAACACTAATGCGCGCGCGCGCGCGCACACACACACACACACACACACACACACACACACACACACACACACACACACACACACACACACACACATTCACATTCACATTCACAAACTTCGCCATGCAGTCTCGGCAGCGTCGCCTGAGCAGCCAGCCTCTTGCATAATTAAGGGCAGGATAACGAAGTGTGCCGCCGCTGAAGAGGCTCATGAGACGGAATTGGACGAGGCTGTGACCTGGGACGATGGGGGGAAGCGGGGGAAGAGGAGGGGAAGACAGGGAGAAGAGGGAGAAGAATGAGCAAGAGCGGAGGAAGTAAGGAGAGAAGGGGGAGGAGGGGAATAAAGTTGAGAAGGGGGAGGAGGGGAATAAAGGAGAGAAGCGATGACAAGGGGTATGTGGGAAAGGAAGGGGAGAGGGAGTGAGGGGAATGAGGAAGAGGAGGGATGGAGGGAAAGAGCGAGAGGGGAGGGAGAAATAAGGGAATGAGGGAAAAGAGGGAGAGGAAAAGGTGAGGGTAAAAGGGGTTAGGAGCGGAGGGGAAGAGGAGAGGGGAGAGGGTGCGACTGGTTGAGTTTCTCCTTCAGACTTTGAGGCGTGACGGAACAACAATCCGGCCAAGACGGTAATTAAGGCACGCTCTTGCCCCTGTTTTGTGAGTTGTGCAGGTAGGTAGGAGGGAGGGGTGGGGGAGGGGGCTGCCAGAGTGTCGTTTCCTGTGCGCGCGTATGTGTGTGTGTGCGTGTTTCAAGATGTTTAGTGATCCTCCCTTTTCTTCGTGTTTCTGTTCCCGGTGGTTCGCCCCTTTGTTTTTGTCTCATATTCGCTGTGTCATGATCGCCATCTTCATCGCGTCTGCTGTGATGCCGCCTCGAAGGTATCCTCTCGGATATCAGATGTTCTTAATTAAAATAGTGAAGATTATTCGGTATAGTCGCAACCCCTGCAGAACTTTCTGGAAATATCAAGAAAAAATAGAACTGCAGAAAAGAAGAAAAATAAGAGTAAGAAGAAATATGATATTACGACAGAAAAAATATCAAGAAATATGATGTCAGAAAAAAGTCGCCACTATGAAATTAGATTTATTTCGCTTTCTCTTTTTTTCGTTTTTTGTACTCGCAGCTCTCTGACTTTGCCTCCGCGCCAATCAGACCCTGCCACTGCCTCCCCTTCCAGTCCTCTCCCCCTTCGCCTCTCCTCTCGCCCCTTCCCTCTCCTCCCTCCTCTCCTCTCCGCCCTTCCTTCCTCCCCCTCTCCTTCCATTCCTGTCTCTACCTTCGCCATATTTCGATTTTCCCTTTCTCTTCTCCTCTCTCTGTCCAGCGCCGCCTTGTTCTCGCCTCTTCCCTTTCGTTATCTTTCTTCTTCTCTTCTCCTTTTTTCGTCATCTCTTCTCTTCCGTTCTCACTTCTCGCTCGTCTCTTTTTCGTGTTCCCTCCTTTCGTTCTTTTACTCCTCCACCCCCATCCCCCGCACCCTTCCTCTCTCCCGGTTCTCTTTTCCGTTCCTCTCGCCAGCACCCTTCCTCTCCCTTTCTCTCCCCATCCTTTCCATTTCTCTCTTTCCGTTTCGCGTCCTTCAATTCTCTCTTCCCCAGTCTCTACAGTCTCTAGCGAGCTTCATTTTCAGCTTCAGTAAGTTTCCGGAGAAGCTTAGGCGGGAAGGAGAGCGCTGGGGGGGGGGGGGGGGACTCCAAAGCCGCTCTGATGATGACGCAGTTTTGATGTCAGCAAATTAGTGGTGGAAGTGCATATCGCTGGCGGTGCCCTTTCTCTCTCTTCCGTGCGGCCTTCCCCTCGTCAACGTTATTATGGTCATCGTCATTTTCACCATCGTCATCGTCATCGTCGTCATCATCAGCATCCCTACCACCGCCGCCACCATGATCAGCATCACTTCAAATAACTTTAGAGTAAACTTGTTCCCATGACAACTCCCTTGCGTGTGGTGCGAAGGGAGGCGACCTACGGCCCTCCCCCTCTCCCCCCCTCCTCAGCCTTCCAACCCTCCCCCTCCCCCCCCTCATCCCCATTTTCCTTGTTAG